TGGACGGGGCTGTGAGCAACCTGATGTGGTTCAAGGTGTCCCTGCTGCTGCAGGGGGGTTGGGCTGGGTGACCTCTAGGGGTCCCTTCCCACCCAAAACATTCTGTGATTCTATGATTTTCTCCCCTTCTGATTGCAAACGGTTATGGCTTAGTTTGGAGTTCTGTTTTCCCGGCTTAGCCTCCTCATGTCCTCCCGTGGATCCTGCCCCCTGAAGCCCATGGAAGGAGAAGCCTCAACCCCAAACTCTCTCCCAGATACGCCTCCCACCGGCTGCTGGCCTCGGGCCCGCGCTGCCCTTATCGGAGGTGCTGGGCTGCGCTCCCTGCCCCTCTGCACCACGAGCCGTGTCCCACCAGCACCTACGGACCCTATGGCCAGCCCCCTCCTCGGCACCCAGACCCCCCTCCAAGCCTCTCCGGGGAGCCCCACAACGTGCTAGGGTTCAGCATCACCAGCTCCAAGCAGCCAGCAATCACGAGGCTGTTAATTACCCTGCTTCGTGCTCATTCCGTTAAGCCTTTTGGCTTCACCCAGGTAATTTTTCCCAGTCTTCCTCCACAGCTTACAGCGGCTAGGGATGCCCGTCTTCGCAATGGGAAAAGCTGGGACTCCTACAGATCCCAGGTTTTACAGAAAAAGCAATCACTATCAGAAATTTCACCATCAAAGTCTCAGAAGTTATCATTACCACGTATTTTGGTGCTCTATGGGCAGGCATTTTCACTGGTGAAGTCAGGGAAGAGGCTTTATTAAAGCAGTTTCCTTTTTACTGGGAAAAAAGGTTCCGGTGTTTACTTTTCAGAAAGCTGCAGTTTCAAATTCAACACCTGGAGCCCTTTCCTGCCAACCCCAGTTAAATGAGCGAGTCCGCCTGGCCCCAAAGCCGGTGGCTGTTCTAACCACGTCGCATATTTTGAGAGCTACCCCCAGTCACCAAAACAACCTCCCCCGGTTGCAAGGCTCTCCTCTGCAGCAAGTACAAACAGGATTTCAAGAATCACAGCAGTAGGGAAGCGATTTTTTTTCCACACCAATAAATAAGCTCAGCATTTCAAAGAACAAGTCACCCGAGATGCTCTTATCAACTCTGGGCGGCTCCGCTACACGTTAATGATGTCATGCAGTTCTCTTTATTTTAAGAAAGCCCTAAGCAAATGCAAAGCTCGCCAGTGGATCGAGATGCACTGCGTGCACTGCGATGGCTTGGCGGGAGAGCGAGCCTCGTGCGTTCGGCAGCGCATGGATGCATCACCAGCCCCTGCCACGAAGACCCCGCAATCTGAGCAAGCAGGTCAGGAAAGGTGGAGAAGTGGAATGGAGAAGCAGAAGAAGGAAGCAGCTCCTACAAGGTCCCACAGGGCCAATCCTGGGTCATTATATCCAAACGCAGCATCCCACCCACTGCAGCCTATTAATGAGTCTTCTCATTTAGCTGGACCACAAGTCTCCATTTCCTAAAGCCATTAAGGAGCTCTGCATCTTCTCACAACCAGAGCCTGGGGGAGAGTCACCTCAGAACACCCCACAAACCAAACTTTGTCTCAGCTGACAAACAGCAAAGCGCAGCAGGGTGAACTTGAACGCCGGCACACCAGGTCGGGTCACGGCGACACAGCCAAGCAGCCTCTGCTCCAAAACGCCACCGACTTCACCAAACTCACTGCCTTTTCACAAGCTAGAACAGGGGAGCAGGAAACAGGGATGCAACTGGAAAAGGTCACGGGGTAGCGGAGGGACCGAGCCCTGCGAGCCGGCGTTCTACAGGAGCTGAGCTCTGCCGCAGCCTCAGCAGGACGCACCCCAGCTCTACCACCGGAGGAGGGGGCTCCAGCCTTGACTGCACCTTGCGCAGTTATTTTCAGCACCCTGATGTTTTAGCCTTCAAATTAAGACACTTGAAAAAAGATTTGATTTTCCCAAAGTATTGCCTTTGGAAAGCCTGACCTCTTTGAGCTAGCTCAAGAAAGGCAGGGCACAAAAGCAGAACCGAAGCGTCCCGAATCACCAGTCGCTACCGAGAAACGCAGCCTGGATGTCTGCATTCTCAGGGACTGTAAAATTGCAAGCATGAAACTACCAGATGGTGAAATTAAAAAGCCTATATTAAGACAGCATCCAGACAATATGCAAAGTGCTTATATTGAAACTATTATTAACTTCAAAAATACAGGTTAGAGGAGTTCTGCAATTAGAAGTAACTACAGAAGAAACATCCAAAAGCTCATGTAATCCTTTAATAAAAGGCTCAGCAGGCTGTAAACATCCTGCCGGAATCGAAGATTATTATTGAAAATAAAATGAATGGTTTGCAAAACAACTATCAATCCAGCACAGGAACCATTTATAAACTCCCCTCCTCAGCCCTCAGCAAAATACTGCCCGGCCGAGGCTTTTCAGGGCAGATAAAAGAAACATAAACTAACCATGAGGAATCCAGCTGTACGGAGCCCCGCAGACAGGAGTCCCCACGGACGGTGGTGCCACAAACCGCCTTCAGAGCAGACAGCTCCGCAAGCTCTGCACCTCACCAGGCTCCTGACCAAGCACCCAGAAGCCTTGGGGATCCAGGGAGCTCTGTGGAATTCAGTGGCACTCACCTCCAGCTAGACAGAGCCTGGATTGTGGGGTTTGAGCTGTTCCATCATGGTAAAGACCACTCTGGCAAGGTTTCCTTCCTTGCATAAACTTGTTTTTAAAAAAAAGTCTGGATTCTACATACATTTCCACGTGATCTTGCATAAGGATTTTCTAATAAGAAATTAAATAGGTATTGTAGTGACTTCCAGATTACTCCTGCTATTCACGTGGTTCCTTCGGGCACCTTCACAGCTTAACGAGCTCTCTCAAATATGTCTATCTGCTCCTTTTGCCACCGGAATCGGGGGTAAACAGAAGGCTGATTTTATGGGGAAGACAACTGTGTAATCATTCAGCTAAGGGTCAAACTCCTCCTGAACACACACAAATCCTCCTCCCAACGATTCCTCTTTCTCTAATGAAGGTAAACAGTGTTGGCAATGGTGTACACATACACATGCAGCAAACAGAAAAGGAATTCCAGAAGCAATTCCAGAGGCTTTGAGAAATTACACTGGAAGGCAAAAAGCGCGGCCCTCCTTTGAGCGTGGCCTCACTGCACTTTTGGTTTTCAAAACACACTTAAAAAGAAAGGAGGAAAAAAAAAGAAAAAAGAAGAATTCAAAATATGTAGTGCTCGCTTGGGCAGGAACTTACCTTGCCGAACTGTTCAAAGTATTGCTTTACGTCTTCCACTACTGTGTTAGCCGATAATCCACCTACAAATATTTTCTTTGTTCTCGTGACCATCTGTAAGAAATTACAAGACAAGCATACGGTTTAACGAGATTATTTCAAACAATACGTGGAAAAAAAGAAATATTCTGCAGATGCCATCCCTAACCCAGTTAATGAGAGCATTTCTTTACAAAAGCAATCCAGAGTCGATTTGATTAGATACTTCTTTTTCTCTTTGTCTTGTTTTGTTTTTATTTGAGAGATGGCTGAGTAAAGGCACTCAATAACAACTCTAGCCCCCGGATATTTTTTTTTAATAAATGATTTTTATTGTGCTTCTCAATGCAAATATAAGTGAAAGGGGAGTCCAAGTGCCGTATCCCCAGCGCTACCGTCTCAGAAAGACGTGCCATCTTCCCCCCCTTTTTTTCTGAAGACAGGGTGCATACCCTTTGGCAGACTAAAGGTAATTACACCAAATTGAAGTGATGAGCTATTAAGTTTCCATGGGTCAGTTTAAAAGGAACTTTCACAGTTATTTTAAAAATAATGAAATGACGAAAGGCAGTGAGAGCGTCCGACGCAGTCCCCCAGCTGCTGCAAACCACGCTTCAGCGGAAAGGCTCACAGTATCACCGTCCATCAGGGGCTGGATCGGGCCCTTCAGAAACCCCCTCGTGTTCCCCTGAGACCCCACCTGAGCACCCAGCTCCTCTTCCTGAGCCACACGCCCCCAGGTTTGGTCCATACAAGGTGACGGGGTGATGCCGGACTCCCCACAGAGAACGTGCCATCCGATAACCCGTCACCCATAGCCCCCAACCCGCTAAGACAGGCAGGACCCAGCCCAGGGACCCAAACCCCATGGGGCGGCAGGGGAAGCTGCTGCCTTTGGGGGACTGATCCCAAACCGCTTGAGCCTTGTGGGCCAAATCAGGGCTGATCCAGGCCAATGCTGTCGGCATGCTCCGAAGGGGCAGGCATCATCCCAGTGTGCTTGGGCAGCGGGGAAAGGCCCCAGCTTACAGCAGGCAACCCCTCAACACTGGGGACAACAACAAACTATCCGCCTACCCCACCCCAGAGAGATGTTCTAAAGTCAACGTTGCACCTTAATTCAAGAAACCAACAAACCCGTCGATTAGAAATTCATGCACTAAAACGCTTGAGTTTGTTTCCTGTATGACTGAAACTGGACGAAGCAGCCAACTTACAACAGCTAAAGGGGAAAATAAAACCCGTAACTCCAGAACCAGGACTTGGTTAAACAACGGCCAACAAACGCCGGAGCAACGCAAAGGGAACACCACCGGGCAGGCGGCCGGAGACACAACGGCTGCAGCTGCCCAGTGCAGAGCCTGGACTTCCCTCACTTTTTTATTTCTTTGCCAAAGACAGGATATATTTTACGATAGCTTCGGAAGGTCGCACGGTGCAGCTCTGCACCGAGGGGCTGGGGCTGCACCGAGGGTCACCGCGCTCCTGCGGCAGCACGGCCACCCCGTCCCGCCAGGGGCTCCCCCGGGGCTCTGCCCCGAGACCCCGTCCCACACATCAGACACACACACACACACACACACACACCCCCGAGAGCAACGGTGCTCCCCAAACCAGCGCCAGGCCCTGTCAGGCAAGCGGAGCCGCGGTGACACGCCGTGCCGCACGGCTGTGGGCAAGGCCTTCATGGAACGGAGACACCCAACAAAAAGCTTGGAGTAGCCCCAGATTCTCTCAGCGCAGAACAAATTAAACATTGCTCCCATCTCCACTGCCATTCTAATTAACCAGGGTAGACATTTCCCCTCAATCGGCCCCAACCATGCTTTACACAGCTTCACTTCATTTTTTATTTTTTTTTAAGTTAGGAAGAAAAGAGAGGGAAAAAGCAGTGTAAAAATTCAATTATTTTTTCCTGGCTGCAATCTAGGACTCCGAAATTGAAGCCCAAGCATATATTTTTCTGTAGAAAATTGTCATTTACAAATAAAGAATTGGCTAAAGCCAACTTGTAACTAAAGGATTTTGCAGGGCTGTCAAGAGCCCTCTGCCTGCCAGCATCTGATTTAAGATCAGGCCAAGCTTCTGTTGTCATACAAAAGAGGGAGAAAAGCAATTATTCTAAAGCAATATTTGAAATTATCATCATTTTTATATTTGACCAAGAAAGAAAGAAAGAAAAAGAGAGCTCCTTCTTTTAGAAGCAAGATTGAAGGTGAAAGGGAAAGGAAAAAAAAAAAAAAATACTACTTTGTTTCAATAGCTTCAGTCAAAGAAAATATTGGTAATGACAAGCAAATTCACAACATTTTAATGCCCAGAGATGTGTTGCGAGCTGGGAAATGGTTTCAGAAATCAGCTCTTTGGTACAAAAACGAAGCACAAAATTAAGTCTGCTTTTACAATCTCTGTTTTCCTGAAGAGCCGGTTCAATCGCGCTGCTGTACGCACCCCCCTCAGCCAAAGAACGAGGCAATGCGTAGCCTTGGCAATCCTCCCTACCCTGATGTGCCTCCACGGGAGGTTCGTGTCCTTCCTTTCACCCGTGGCACGAGCTTCCAGCGCGCCCCCAGGCTCGCCACAGGCGCAGCCAGGCGTCGCTTGCTCACCCCCTGTCCCACCACCCAACCATCACCAGCACCCCAGGAGATGTGGTCACGACAGAGGCGCAGGTTTGGAATCCAGCCTTTTCCCCGTAAAGATTTGGATGTGCACAGCAGAGGTGAACCACACACAGAATCCCATCATGGCAGGGGTTGGAAGGGCCCTCAGGAGCTCACCCAGTGCCACCCCCCTGCCCAAGCAGGCTCACCCAGAGCAGGGGGCACAGGACAGCGGCCAGGCGGGGGTTGAAGATCTCCAGAGAAGGAGACTCCACAGCCCCCCTGGGCAGCCTGGGCCAGGGCTCGGGCACCCTCACAGTCAACAAGTTCTTCCTCCCGTTCAACTGGAACCTCTTGTGCTTCAGTTTGTGCCCATGGCCCCTTGTCCTGGCACTGGGCACCACTGGGAAGAGTCTGGCTGCGTCCTCGTGACCCCCACCCTTGAGATATTTGTAGGTGTTGATGAGATCCCCTCTCAGCCTTCTCTTCTCCAGGCTGAAGGAACGCATGAATGCACAACGCCCGCTCACCGTGGTGTCACGGTGGGCTCCCGCAGCCAGTGACAAGGCCAGCACCGCGCTCAGCTCAGGTTTGGGCCAGGGTGCCTACCAGAGCCCCAGCAGACGAGAGGAGCTGCTGTTTGTGCTGGAAGCCCCCATTTCTTCCTCAAACGTTCATGCCAGGTATGCCGCCATACACAGTCGACTTGTCTGTGCTGGTACAGCCTCACCAATTTTCAGTGATTAGATAACTGCAGCGGGACTCAGACCACCTGGAAGCAAAGCCTCCAGCTCCTGCTCTAACCTGCAAATCCTCTCCCGTCAGCCAAGCAGACGAGTTACGAGGCAATGAAGACTTCATCGGGGTAAAAACCGCAGGGCGCTGTGGTCCTGCTCCGCACGGGGCTCCCAGGCAGCGGAACGGAGCCGACCCAAGCCCGGAGACTCAGAGCTAACAGCCAAAAGTTTGCAAACGTCTTAGCCAAACATGACAGAGCATTCAAAAGGCATTTAAAAAAAGGAAAAAAAAAAAAAAAAAGTATTCACTAGCTTAGGGATTTTACTACACCAGGGACACCTTCTCTGTAGGTCAGCCACTGAATCACCAGTAAGAAGAAAGATTTTAAAGCACATCAAATTGCCAGGACACGAGCTCTGAGAAAACCGACATTAACTTCCCAGTCCCCACACCTCTCATTGCTAATGGCTGCAAGAGCACGGGAGCAGACCCCTTATTTCTGACCCAGCACCCTCAGCAGGAGACCGGGCACCGACACCGATGGGCTTCTGGTTCATCCTGGTGAGCAACGTTCTTCCTGTCTGATGGGATATTCTCCGCCATCCCCTCCCCACATCTCTGCTTGTTTCAGGGAGGAAAATCAAAGGGTTAAAAAGTATTTAACGAAGTACACGTAGTGCTGTTCAGTAAACATTAACGCCGACAAATGACGAGAGGTACAAGGAACTGAGCCACTGAGGAGTTTCTCTTTTAAAAATGAAAGGGTTTTTTTAAAATCAAAATTTCTCATTTGGCTCAGAAAATAAAACAGCATCTCTTCAACAACAAAAACAACAAAAAAAAAATCTATAATTTCATAAAAACATTTATGGATGTATCTAAGAAAAACACTCATTATAATTTTTTAATTATTATTATTACAACAACAAAAAGCCCAAAACCTAAGAGTCCCCATCCTGAAGTCACTGAGGATCTTCATCTTTCCCTGCCAGTAAATTCAGACTCTGCTTACTGGGGGTGGCGTACGAAGGGGGCACTCCCAGGAACAGCAAACGGGAGTCGCCTGTAGTGCTTTTGGGTTGGGTCCCTCGGGTGGCTGCTCCATCTGCTCTTTGCTCGGGGTGGGAACGGCAGTGGTCGGGTAATGGGAAGCGATTTGTGGGAATCCATCACAAATCCGTGTTTTATGAATGACTCCAGAGGCCCAGGTCACCCCAAAACCACAATACTTCCAGCTTCATGTCTTTGGTTTTATTCTGCAGTATAATATATCTATCATTCACCGTTGCGGCGCTCTGCAAAACGTAGATATTAAATGTTTTTGTGTACTGAAGGTGTCTCTCTCTCGCTGCAGGAGGAATCGACAGGGGAGAGTTAGATCTAACGCTGGTTATAAAGCCCGTTAATTGTAAGTACCTGCAGAACGGCTTTGTTTGTGTACGGCGTTGGTGTCGCAGTTAATCAAAACACATGCGACTACTACTGCGACGAGTCAGTCAAGGTTACAATCCCTTCATTGGCTCGACTTTTGAAAAATACATTTGCCTTTGTGTTCTGAAACTGAGCAAACCCTTCAGGTGGCGCAGAAGCAGGGAAGATCCACCCTGCTTCGGCAAGACAAGTCTTCTGATTTGATGCCATTTTGCGCAAGACTGTCATTACATCGGTTTGGGGCGTATCGGGTAAATCTCCTCTAAGCAACAGGCTGGAGAGACCGTCTCTGGAAACAAAAAC